AAACATATATTTTTGAATCACTATCATTGTTGTGCAATCGCGTATAGCCCAATGACTGTAAAAAATATGGACGACGCGACAGCCCCTTTTCCCATTGAACGCCTTGAGGGCAAAACGCCTGCTTGACGGGCACAAACTGTCGCAAAAGACTGCTGAAATTGGAGCCTTGACATGCGCAGAAGGACTGTCTGATGGAGCCAGAGGAGGAGCCGCGAAAATGAGCGGAGTCGAGCTTCCAACCAAACGCTTTATGCAAAATCAACCACGCCCCCCGAACTTCTCAGCATGCGTTTGCTGTCATATCAACACAAATGGATGTAATAACGTTAACAAATATGAGGGTTTTATATATTTAGTCGCGCAAGCTCCAGGCCGCAGCGCACATATCCTACTCGCGGCGTCGCGGGCTCGCATGCGGCAGCGCCGTCTCGCTCGGCCGCCGCATCTGGCTCGATTGACTCGGGCTGGAATCGGACGGGCAGTGAGTCCAGGCATCCGGAGTAGGTCCAGCAGAGGTAGTCAGTCTGAGCTCTGAGGGGTAAGTCTCCGGCAGGCGAGAATCTAGCTGGAACTGGCTCGAGTGTATTTTGCTATCTGGGTGGTTAGGCGTGTATCAGCAAACTAATAACGCCCGAAAAAAGCCCTGACCTTAGCGAATAAACAGGGTTCCACCAGGATCATATGTGTCAGAAACTGTAGTTTACTGCTGAACTCATTTTGTCATAGTAAAATAACACAGAAATCGAAAAATAACACTTCAGTCTCCTGCCGAAGCTCAGACGCGCTGCTTTGAGAAACTGCAATCACAACTGTCAATCACGATGACATGCCCAGCATTAAATTACTGCTAAAAACAAACTGTTTACTAAAAAATGAAGATCTGCACCTATTTCAGCACAATAACCAGTGCTTTAATCGACCAGAACCATCTTTCGGGACATTTTATTGCAAGTGTAATACATTTTTTTATTTGGGCTCAAGTCTCCTTCATTAACACGGAGGAGGCGGGCTTTATGACTTGTACTGCAGCCAGCCCCCAGGGGGCGATCTAACGGCCGAGACCTTCACTCAAACGCAGGCTTGCGGCACACTTGGTATAGCCACTTGTGGTTTTGCCCTCCACCTATTGGACGTTTAAAGTACTGCACTATATTGTACTGTCTTTCAGTGTTACTTTAGTTTTTTTCACAGCTTGCGGTCGAGAGTATTTCTGGGGCTGATTTAAACGTTGAAATAAATGTGCGCAAGTGCTCTGTTTTTACTAAAGCTCTATTCTTGTAAGTGTTCAAGTGTCATTTGATTATTATAAGTGTTATACCACCTGTATTTTGTTGAACAAACACTTACAAGGTATGCTGGTGGTGCAACAAATATGACCGTTTTAAATGGTCTCATTTAATAGATTTTCCTCATATGCATATTAAGATTTCTATGACAACAATGTGCATTTTTTACTGCTGGATGAATTGAACATGTTAATGTGAATATATACATACTTTTTTCCCTCTTTGTTGTAGTTTTACAAAAAAGAAAGATATTAAGAACAATAGCCAGTGAAGTCGGTAAAGTTATCCAAACTGTTTCTGCTGTTCTTACGCTATATGTTTTACTGTTGGTAAAGCAACAATTTTTTGGGACCACAATAATATTAAGACTGATTATTATGACTATTTAAACGTCAAAATGCTCATTTAAACAGCCACAGACATATTTCAGCAGTTGTGTGCAACAAAAAACGTGCTGATTTGTTGATTTGTGACAGGTAATGCTTAAATTATAAACATCATATCTGTATCAAATTCAAAGCTCTGATGTTTGCTTACAAAGCGACTTCTGGCTTTGCTCCTTCTTATCTGCTCTCACTTCTGCAGATCTATGTGCCCAACAGAAACTTGCGTTCTGTGAATGAACGTCGCCTCGTGGTTCCATCCCAAAGAGGGAAGAAATCACTTTCCCGAACTCTTGCATTCAATCTGCCCAGTTGGTGGAATGAACTCCCTAACTGCATCAGAACGGCAGAGTCACTCGCTGTCTTCAAGAAATGACTAAAAACTCATCCATTTAGTCTCCACTTTCCTTCCTAATCTGCAATTGCCTCTCTGGCTCCAACGCTAACTGTACTACAAAATAATAATAATAATAATAATAATAATAATAATAATAATAATTACTAATGTTTTGCTTCTGACACTTTACACATCTGAAACTTGCCTGCAGCACTTATTCATTGTTGCTCTTATAGTTGTGTAAATTGCTTCCTTGTGCTCATTTGTAAGTCGCTTTGGATAAAAGCGTCTGCTAAATGACTAAATGTAGATGAAGTCCTTCGATGCACCAATTACGTCACTTTTTTCTTGTGCTTGAATGTTAAGGCAGCCCTCCTGTACATTGTCAGTCACTGAAATGGCCCCCCGCCAATTTAAATTTGAGACTTCTGATCTACACCCATCGTAACTGCCATCGAGAATGCAGAAAGCCTAGAGGTAAAACAGTTTAGAATACGGGTTTAATTGCAACATTAAAAGATGCTTTAATTAATATTAGTCATTTCAAATAAAATAATTAAACGTGTGTGTGTGTGTGTGTGTGTATCTGTGATTGGCTTTCACACACTTTTAACTCCGCTGTTGCCTTTCAGTCTCAAGACCTTTGAAGAAAATGGAAAAATCTTATCCTATTGATTAAAAATTTGTGTGTGAATCTTCTCTGAAACCTTTGGCAAATGTCCAACACAATCTCATGGCAATTCGTAACTTTTTCATTTAGTGGCTAATTTGTACAAATTTGTACAATCTAATTTGTACATTTTACTACGATCTGCTCATCCCTCAATGACGGTTGCGTTTAGGGGTGGGGTTAGGTGCCACGCGTCCTTTTTAAAATCGTACAATTTCGTACGACTTATTTTCAAGAATTAGCCACTAAACTGGCAAAACGTAAAATACTTACGTTTTCTCGAGAGATCAGGCTGAAATGTCACATAATCTATTTCTGAGAAACAGTGTCAAGGCTGTATGACCATAAAAATGACAAAAATATACAATTTATTGCAGTAAATGACAGATGAAATATCAAGATTTCGGGATACAGCACTAAATGTACAATTATAATATGGTACATACTGAAATTAACTATTTTATCAACACCACGTCTTACTATGTTAAGCAATAAATAAATAAATATCAGAGGTTAGCTACCTAAACACTGATTTCACCATCTCTGGGTTTACTTTTGGTACAGAAACCCTCGATTCTCATATCATTTGTTTAATACTAGGGATGTAACGGTATCAGAATTTCACGATACGGTAATACCTCGGTATGAATGTCACGGTACGGTATTTATTGAATCTTTTACAGGAACAACAAAACTAATGAAAATACCCCAAAAAGTGCCAAAAGTGTCAATGACATACAAATTAGCCATCTATCTGTAAGCTTTGAAACAGGAACTTCAATTTTTAAATTTTAATAACAAAAAATTATTAAACCATGTAAAAAAAAAAAATAAAGTTTCAATTTAGTATTGTTGAAAACTCATCACATTCAACATTTAATCACTCACTCACTTAGATAGAGATGGGTTTTAAGGAAAATTATCATATAACTATAATCTGGTAAAAGCTGGTATCTCTGGGCATTTACAATGTCCCCTGCAACAGAAAAAAACCCTCTCATTGGGACTGAAGTTTCTGGGACAGACATATGACTTGGCCCAGGTTGACAGCAGTGGGTAACGTTGTGCATTGTCTTTCCCCCACTTGAGAGGACAAGCCATGAGTGAGATAGAGGTTTCTTTGCAGTACAAGTCAATGTCTGCATCAATCTGAACAGTGTGCTGTGTTTCTGCAGTCCCCATGACTGTTTTTAGTCGTATTCCCCAACTTGCAGGCAAGTGCACACATAGGGCTCAACCTGTGCAGTGCACATGCCCTTTTTAGTCTTGGATAGAAAGTGCCCTTCCAAAATGATCAAAAGTGGCCCCGCGACGCCACACACCCTCCGTCCCGCCCGACGCGACAACACCGCTATACAGTACACGCGCGGCATCAACAACAACACCCCCAACCGAAATGCTTCCACACATCCGATTTAAAACCCGCTTTAGGTTCGATCATTTCCAGCTCTTTTTCATCCCCGCTACTAGCGGCACACTCCATTTCCGCATTACTGGATCTGTAGCGACAACAGACCGCAAAGGATGATGGCCACGCCTGGGCTGATGGGAATTGTAGTTTTCGCTACCTCCCGTTCGCTTCATTCGCCTGAGCAAATTTTCTCAGAAGACCTATAGTTTTACCGAGTCATGCGACTACGGTAACATCGAAAAAAATTGCTATTGCGGTATGACGGTATTTACAATACCGTTACATCCCTATTTAATACATTTCTTTCATATCATTAGATATGTATTAGGGCTCTTAATGCATTAACATGTGTGCTAAATCTGAAAATATTAATGCGTTAATATATCTTCCACGCCAATTAATTAAAAGGATTGACCCACAGCTTCTTTCCATCATTGCAGTTGAATTGTGTGAAGGATAATATAATAATATATGATCGATCAAGGAGCAGCACAGTGGCACAGCAAGAAGATCGCTGGTTTGAGTCCCGGCTGGAGCAGCTGGCATTTCTGTGTGAAGTTTGCATGTTCTCCCCGTGTTTGCTTGGGTTTCCTCTGGGGTACTCCGGTTTCCCCCACAGTCCATAGACATGCACAACGGATGAATTGGATTAACTAAATTGGCCATAGTATATGAGTGTGTAAAACATATGCTGGAATAGTTGGTGGTTCATTCCACTGTGGCGACCCCTGATAAATAAGGGACTGAGCTAAAGCAAAATGAATGAATGAATAAATGATGGACCAAGACATGACGTGTATCAAATGTTAAGATATTTGTTTGATAAAACTGTGCTCTGTTTTCAATAGCTTGTTATCTTCGAAAGCTGTTTGTTTTGTTAATATTTTAAGCAAAAGACAAACAATAAGTTAGAGTTAAACAATCAAAACATTTCTTTTTCACAGCCATCTTTGCTCATGTTTACCAAAGGTGCCAGTTTAGTAGACTACAAATCTAATTTCTCATCTCAGCACACTTGGTCCCTAAACAATGACAAGTAGTTCTGCTGTTTTGCTGAATGCAGTGTGAAAGACTGACGTGAAGATCTGTGTTTGCAAAGGCAGATTTCCATGATCCGTTTCTCCAAGGTGGATGAGAACAAAGTCATTCTGGGGCTGGAGCCTTTGACCCTACATTCAGTCCGAAAAACTTCTTCTTACCTGGGATGGCGGACTTCTCTGCAGAAGTGTCTCCGCTGTCACTGTAGCGGCTACTCAACATGTTTATCACATTCACAATGATGAACGAAGCAAAGAACAGAGTGAGGACAATCCAAAGCACGCGATTTCGCCGGAAGAATTTGGGAAATATTCGGTCAAGAACCTCTAATGCCTCCTCAAACCTGCTGAAACAACAGACAAAAGTCACAATTTGAGGATGGATTATTTGATAATGATTTGACAGACATGCAAGTTGAAGTCAGAGTTACCTATTAGTCTTCCTGTCTTTATCAGCGTTTGCTCTTGCTTCCTCATCACACTCCTTCTGCTTCTCTTCCTCCTCCTTTAGCTCCTGCAGTTCTTTACATTTCTTCAGTCCTTCTAGGTATCTGCAGTGAAGGTCATTTCTGTTTAATATACAGTACTATAGATTTGGAATCACTAAACTATATATGCATGGCTCAGCACACTGTGTCGTTTAAGTGCTTAATTCACAGTGCTAGGCAGGCTACTTGACAAATGTAGTGAGCTAAGCTGTTAGCTACTCTACTTAAAATGTAGCTTAACTACATTAAAGCTACCCCCTGGGTAACGTAGCAAGCTAGGCTAAAAGCTACATGCCAAAAGTAGCTTAGCTACATCAAAGCTATTTTTACAACTGTCATTTTTAAATCGCAGCAACTTAAATCCAAGTCAATCATATCTTAGTGATCAATAAAGCTGTCAATGAAACATATGAGGCATAATAGTTCAGTTCAGCTATTTACTGTAAATGATATGCTGTACTAAACAGAAACTAATTCTAATATATAACAGCTAACAAACAAAACAAAACAAAACCAAACATAAAATTCGATAAAACAAGGTGTTACACATTTAAAATACTATAGTCATTTATAATAAAGGAAAATATTTTTTATAAATTATCATTCATTTGCGGGTATTTGGGAGTCTCTGTGCACTTGCGGGATACTCCTAGTCATAGCAACTGGATGAATGCAAAGGAGGATTAAGCAAAATTGTTTCTACTCTATAATTAATGTTCTCAACTCACAGCAATAAAACTTTACAATGAGTGCATCAGTTTGTATTCTATAGTTTATTATTATCATTTTTAATTTTCCATATCTGCAATTCCTGTATTTTGGCATTTTTTTTGCAGTCCACTTGGAATCCAACATGGAAATCAATGTTTTCTTTATTGGCATTGATTGTTTTGAAATTTAAATGTCATTAACATGCCTGTGTTTTAATTTCATTTGTAAATATGGCTGTCAAGCCAGGATCTTGATGGTTTATTGTGGGTATGTTGTTTACATGAAGAAATCTGTGTTACAAGTTAAACAAAAATTCTATTAAACAATTATATTTTGAATTTTAATTCTAATGAACAATTATATTTTGAATTTAAATAGTTTTTGTCTTGCGTTTACATTAATTTTACATTTGAATAGCCAAAATGACAAGTTTCAGTATTTTAAATGCGATTAATCGCGATCAATTTTTAAAAAAAGGTGCGATTAATTAGTTAAATTTTTTTAATCGATTGACAGCACTAATATATATATATATATATATATATATATATATATATATATATATATATATATATATATATATATATATATATATATATATATATATAGCAGTATATATATAGCAGTATATATATATATATATATATACTGTATATGTATATATATATATATATATATAGCAGTATACCACACTTGTGTTAAGACTAAAATGATCATTTTTGCTCGGGAAAATGTTTTTTTTTGTCTTAATGTTAGTTTTTGTCTTATATACAAATTAAAAATCCTTAAAAATAGACAATGAACTTGCTAGGGTGGAAATCCGGATATTACAGTTAAAAATGTAACACTGATTAAATTTTGTAGTTTAATCAAATGAACTTTTTAAGTTGTGTCAACTAACATCAAACTCTGTATGAAAAATATTTGAAACCTGATGAACTTGAGGTACGAAAAATATTTGTTGTAATGCATTTTGTAATATATTTTTTTACAGAGTGGTCTTAAAAACACAGTCTTGTTTATTGATTGAATGATTGATTAATTAATGAACAATATGCATTTTGAAAGAACTAAAAAATGGCAAAACTCCATTACAAAACATTCATTTTTGACATTTGTTTTTTACTGTGTACAATATGAAACATTTTGAATCCCATATTTTTTAACAACTAAAAAATAACTAAATAAAAAATTAGTATTGAGTAATCATTATACTATAATCTAATTACTAATTACTATAACTAATTACTTCATGTAATCATTCTACTATGTTAGTAATTTACATCAATTAAAAATGACAAAATATTAAGTTAAACTTTGCATAACATAGCATAAATTTTGTTTAGTTGATGAAATAACTAAATATTTAAACTAACTAAATATACACAAAACATGTATTGGTCATTTTTACCCCCAGACATAATACATTTACTGACCTTTTTAAAAAAAAAAAAATATTACTTTGTGCATATGAAAACATATTTAAAATGCACCATGAGTTTTTTACAACCCCATTATACATCACATTATTTTTCAACAACTAATCAGAAAATTAGGTAACTGGTCCCTAATATTTTTCAAGTATGGTTATATAGTTTGCAAAACAAGTGATAAAAATGCCACCACTTGCTGAGAATGTTTTGCAATTATGCAACTGTGTGATCTCTATCTAATCATCTGAACTGCTATTGTTTTGTGAGCGGGGGGTCACACAGATTGAGTGTAGTGCCAAGGGTGTTACCCTTTATTATACGCTTCTTCTTCAATCTTGGCTTTGATCTCTTCTGTAACCTTCTCTGGACTGCACACAACTTTGGTTGGCGTTGCTTCACTTTCCTGTTCCGTCAGAGGGTTTCCACTGCTTTGTTTCACATAGGAAAGAAGAGACAGGGATGGAGCAATAAAAGAAACTGCCATTACGCAGATATGTGTGATCTATCAAAACCATCTCTCTGTGTTTATTAACCATCCATGGGTAGTAACAACAATAACCTTCGGCCTAATGGAGAGACTTGAATACCAGGGAAAGAAACATGGTGCACATGGTGAAACTTGAAATGTTTAAACATGTCCTTCTGGAGGTCTTGTAACCCATTAACTGTCGCCCCAACTTTCTGATATCAATATGACATGATCAACTTAAAGAGAACTGAGAACATGGCTACTGAACTCGTTTGTATGGGTTTATTTTTTATCTAAAAAAAACAAACAAACCTTCATTCACTGCTATTGTATGAATCCCCAAGGACCGTGGATTCATCTAGGAATCTTATACTGAAGAAAAAAAGTCACCTACATCTTCCAGGGCTCAACAATAAGGACTGCCCGATGGCCCGGGGCTATCGTGAGAGATGCTCGGGACAGAAGACAGAATGATTACTGGCCCGATCGGACCAGTGCTGCCTTGTCACTAAATTTTAATTCCCCTGCGACTATTTGTCAGATGCATGCAAATACAGTCTTAGAATCGCGAAGCAATTTGTGCTTTCAGTCTTTGAATGCTACCTTTTCTGTTATGTCATTAACACCATATTGATTTTTGGTTCCTCTTTTCTGATTGGATGTTGTGAGCACATTATTTTTTCCCTAACCTGGTAAAAACCAGTACAGGGAAAAGACGACAACATGACGGCCACATCAAATTATGAGGCTTAAAGAAAACATCTGTTTCTAACATTGTGGAAACACCATGAAAAAAAAAAACGAAGTGATGTTTTGCATAGTTTGCGGCCCTTTTAAGTCAGCTACCTTTTGTTTTGCAATGAAATACCTGCACATTTTCCATACTGCTATATTTTACTGCTAAATATTTTAATTCTTAAAAAAATATTAAAGTTCTAGATTAAAATACACTATTTTTGACACATTATTTAAAATATGTGGCTAAGAAATAGCTATCATTTATTCAAAAAAATTTTTTGGTGCAGGGCTAGTGAAAATTTTGGCAGGGCAAGTGAAAAACTGAAAGTAAAAAAATGTCCAATCGGGCCAGTGAAAATATCTTTAGCATTGAACCCTGTCTTCAAATCAGGCTCATTCTGATTACGTACCCCTATTTCCATTTCTGGAGAGTGCCAAATATGTCCAAGGAGCTACGTCTTTGTGAATCCACTAAAGGCCGCTGTGTATGCTTTTTGAGATCTAAAAATTCTCTCACGAGTGCCATTCGCGTCTGCTGCTCTCACGTAAATCCACCAGAGGCCGCTGTCGACCGACCGACCCACCACTTTCCCTAGACCCAACCAATAGTGTTTTCAAAAGCATCGATTGACACCATAGCGCTCACACCATTCCCTAAATCCAACCAACAGTGTTTTCAATAACCATCCAGAAATAGAGAAGCTCTTGTGGCAGCCTGATTTTTACCATGTTTTCAGATTTTACCACATTCTTAGACTGTTATTTACTTATTATTTTTTTTTTTTATTAACTCCAATCTGCACCCAAGTCCGCCAATGTATGAAGTGACCCACTGTACAAACTGGTAACAGTGGAAAAGCTATCCATACGGAGGTAATCAGCTGGTAGCATGAAAGGAAACGCTGTCATAGTGTTCCTTTTAGAGACGTAATGAAGCCGTATTTTCATCTGGCTACATAATTTGCGATCTCCAGAAATGTATATAGGCTGCGTTTTAAGAGTGAGCCTATGTTGTACGTTTTGGATAACATAACAGCGCATAACTTTAGCTTTATTTAACCGTTTGAACTCATTTCATTTTTGGGTGAACTATCCCTTTAAATCAGAGATGCCAAAACTAGTGCCCAGTGTAACCTCAATTTTAAATTTAGAATGTAATCTTACTTTCATCTGTTTGTTTTATTGTTAAGCTACCAAACATGACCACCAGGTGACATTTATTATCCATTGATGATCATGCAAGAGCGCCCCCTATGTTTCGAGGAATATGAACTGTATTTGATCATGCTTTTGACAAAATTTTTAAAGTAGATATAGCATTATAAAGTAATATGTGAAATTTTGGTGATATTTGATTTGGATTATAAGGTGTTCACATGCTGGCTTAGAGTGTTATTGTCTGCATTTGAGTTCAATCCTGGTGTTTGGATGTGACAGTATGGTGACGCGCTCTCTGCCTTTTCCTATTAAAGTACACTCTGACCCTGGTGACTGGTTTTCGTCAAATGTTTCTGTTCAAGTGTTTAGATTTAATGACAAAATGGGATGTAAAACTGACTGCAGTTGAGATTTTTGTAGGTTATTTTAAGCACACTGAAAAAACCTTGAAGGTTGTGTGAGTTATAACCGTTAAAAAAGCCATGACTCGCTGTACACTCATACAGCAAAAAATAAAGTTGCTTTATTGGCATCATTGGTTCCTTCGAATTCTGTGCAACCATTCCACTGCTTAAAAGCATTTAATTTTGCCATAAGAAGGCACATATTCACAATAAACAAAGGTGTATTTTGATGACGCCGGGATTAAGTGTGGAATCATTGAAGTTCATTACAACTCACATCTTTTCGTTACATCCTACAGGACTCCTGCGGAAATCATGTTCACATGGTCTGTGTTATGTTTTTATATAGTTAACACCACTGCTACAATCGCCTCTTTGCAAGAAGGTCGCTGGTTGAGCCTCAGCTGGGTCAGTTGGCATTTCTGTGTGGAGTTTGCATGTTCTCCCCGTGTTCAAATGATTTGCCTCCGGGTCCCCCACAAGTCCAAAAACTTTTGGTATAGACCTTTTATTTTGTTGCATGGAGGGCGCCACAGGGACCGGCGCGTTCCGCTAGGCTGCTTAGAACTTCTGTTATGAATTGTCATCAGCTAACTGGTTGTCAATACTGTTTTCAGTGGCTTACGGAGTGTTTTTGTGATACAAAACTTTGATTTAGAAAGAAAGACGTGTGTTAAAACCGTCAGATGCTGTTAAAGTGTGAGAGAAAAACGCTCTCCTGATTCAGTGTCTGCTGTCAGATGCTGAAATATAGCGTCAGTGTTCCCAACCTGTCAGCTGTTATAATGTACTCCGTGGCTCTTCAATGCAAACACACACATGTGCTGGAAAAGTTGGCGGTTCATTCCGCTGTGGCGACCCCAGATTAATAAAGGGACTAAGCCGAAAAGAAAATTAATGAATGAATTAATTTACATAGTTAATTAATTAATAAATTTTAATTTGGCCCTTATTTATCAGGGGTTGCCACAGCGGAATGAACCGTCAACTGTTTTGGTAAAATAAGGTGCCGGATCAGATTTCAGAGGTGCTGGATCCTGGCCCAAATAGGGCCCTGCTTATTGGACTGTGGGGGAACCCGGAGCACCCACAGGAAAACCCACACCAAAATACGGAGAACATGCAAACTCCACATAGAAATGACAACTGAGCCAGCTGGGAATCGAACCAGCGAACTTTTTGCTCTGAGGCGACAGTGCTAACCCCTGAGCCACCGTGCCACCCTAATCAGTGGCGTAGCGCGAAATGCGGGAGCCCCCCTGAAGGGATCACTGACGGGGGCCCATTAAGGAGGGGGGTGGGCGAAGCAACAACGTGGGGAAGCGATCTCAAACTGAGGAGTGATCACAAACCGAGAGCGGCGAGAACGTCAAAGTAGCAGGAAGTCAATCATTTTCAATGAGAACCGGCGGCAACAAACAGCGAGGCGCAACTTCTCCGGTGTGGGCGTCGAGGAGAGTTGAAATCAAGTCAACTTATACCGAGTTCAGACTGCATGATTTTCAAAGTAGTCGTGTCACAGATGTTTTCACACTGCATGACTATCTGGGCTAGCGTTTTGTCGCTGCTTTGTTTACACTGCAAGATGGATCGGCGACAGGGACATTCACATTGCATGACTTTACTAAAAGAAGAATCGCCGACAACTTCGTCCAAACTACGTCTCACAGCCAAAAACATGTAGTATATCTTTTGTTATTAACTACATAATGAGAAAGAAGCCTTTAATGGGGTAAAACATATACATGTTTGCTCACCTGGGTTTAAAGGGAATTAGCCATTTCTCCTTAATGTTGATAATAAACTAATTTCTTTCTGTATGAAACGTCAAACAGACACGGTTGCTCCTGAGTCCTGTCAAACCTCCACTAGTTTTTCCTCCATTTCGTGGGTCCAAAAAAACCGAAAAAGAGCGCTTTTAACTTCTCCCCCAGCCTCCCGCTGGCCTGCAGCAGGTATACACACACGCACACACAAGTGAAAGCTGCTCTCTCATTGGCTGTAGGCGATCGCTGATGTTATTTTCAGTCAAAACTCAATTCACACAGCATGATCTGAATCGCCGACAGTTCCAGATATTTAGCATTCCAAATATCTCACAGGCATCAGCGACTCATCGGCAAATCCCTCAGATTGCGTCTTTGAAAGTTCATACTGTGTGATTGTCACTAACGTGCACGAGCAGCGATTTGCCTGTGATTTCAGGCATTTGTCTGCGATTTCTCAAAACCTGTCGGCGAGCCAAAATCGGGGCAAACATCACGCAGTCTGAACTAGGCATTAATGGTAATGAGCTATGACGCGGTTCGGCAGCAAGCAATCAGAATGAAGAAGTCCACCGCTTGAGAGGAGTTCAGAGAACACAGACCTGTGAACTTTGGTTCCGACCACAGTTCCCAAGGGTTTGATTATTGTGGTTGCCGGATTTTCAATTATTGAAAAAATTATTGTCACTGGCCCTAATTTACAATAATTACATTATTTTTCTTTCCAAATAAATTCATTCAGAATACAGTATAATTACCCTTAGGTCTTCATATCACAATATATGTCAGAAAAAATTGCTACAGTATATCATCTTTTTCAATATCATTAAATCAGATTTTGTTTCCAGTTTAATAACAATGTGGCTGCACAAAGACAGGCGGGGACTTACGGTTTGTCAGGCACATCTTGTTGTGTTGGATCTGAGGAGCTGCCGTTTTTAATGGTGTTCGCCTCACACTAAAACAACAGCAGAACACAATCATGTAAAAGATCTTGAAGCTTTCACTTTGATAAATAGTCGTGGCGGCCTTCAGTGGTCAACATGATAAAATGGTATGCTTGAAGCGTGTAGATAAAGCATCATTAGTTACATGTGTCTGCTGACAAGGCAGTGTGTTTGAGACTCACCACCACAGGAAGAGCACCGGGTGTGATGTTGGGGCCAGCGGCTGGCGTCTGCCCGGGGATGTTCAGGAGATTAAACTTGGGAACTACAGCCACACTGACTCTCCGTCTTGGCAAAGCCTTAATAAAGAAAAAACAAACAAACAAAAAAACACAAAATCTGAAACACAATATATTTTTTAATTCATCAGAATAATGTTTACACCATGGAGAAAAAAGTAAAAAGAATATATATATATATATAGTATAAATATACAATGGTGTGTAATACTATAAAGTTTCCGGTTTCCATAAAGTTTTGAATAAAATATTGTAAAATTTTTACCATGTTTTTAATGGTAAAGCTCTGGTAACCACAGCTGCTGTTCTTTTATTGTAAATTTTATGTAATTTCAACAGTAAATAACTGTAAAATTTAACAGTAAAAAATCATAACCAGGTCAACAGTATGCTTTCAAAATGTATATGATGTGTGGTGTTAGTATTTTAAAACACTGGTGTGTAATACTATAAATTAATGAAATACGGTAGTTTACTGTAAAATTGAGAAAAAATGTTTACGGTTCATATTTTTATTTGTAAAGTTCTGGCAACCACAGCTGCCTTTTTTCTCCAGTAAATTTTATGGATTTTTTTAAACTGTACATAAACTGTTTAAAATGACTGTAATATTAACAGCAAACACTGTAAAAATGTGTAACTTTGTTAACAGTATGTTTCCTTACTTATGTTTCCTTTCTTTTCCTTCCTTAGTACTCTTAAACACTGTGTATAATATTCTAAATTTACCAAATATGGTAGTTACCCATACAATTTATAGAAACACTGTACAGTTTCTGCTATATTTTTAATTTTAAAGTTCTGGTAACCACAGCTGGCATTTTTACTGTAAATTTTATGGAATTTCAACGGTAAATAACTAAAAATGTTACAGTAAAACTCTGCAACCTGGTCAACAGTATGTCACCTTAATACTGTGCATATGATGGTTAGTGTTGGTACTTTAAAACACTGGTGTGTAATACTATAAATTAATGAAATACGGTAATTTACTGTAAAATTGAGAAAAAATGTTTACAGTTTATATTTTTAATTGTAAAGTTCTGGCAACCACAGCTGCCTTTTTCCCCCAGTAAATTTTATGGATTTTTTAAACAGTGTACATAAACTGTTTAAAATGACTGTAATATTAACAGTAAACACTGTAAAACTGTGTACCTTAGTACTCTTAAACCTTAGTACTCTTAAACAATGCGTATAATATTCTAAATTTACCAAATGTGGTGGTTACCCATACAATTTATAGAAACACTGTACAGTTTCTGCTATATTTTAATGCTAAAGTTCTGGTAACCACAGCTGGCATTTTTACTGTAAATTTTATGTTATTTCAATAGTAAATAACTGTAAAAATGTTAAAGTAAAACTCTGCAACCTGGTCAACAGTATGTCACCTTAATACTGTGCATATGATGGTTAGTGTTGGTTCTTTAAAACACTGGGGTGTAATACTATAAATTAATGATATACGATAGTTTACTGTATAACTGAGAAAAAGATTTTACGGTTCATACCATTTTTTTAATGGTAAAGTTCTGGCAACCACAGCTGCCCTTTTCCCCCTGTAAATTTTATGGATATTTAAATAAAATGACTAATATTAATGATAAAAACTGTAAAAATGCTACAGTAAAAATTCGCAACCTGGTCAACAGCAGGTTAATATATATGATGTGTAGTGTTAGTACTCTAAAACAGTGGTGTGTAATACTATAAATTAATGAAATACGATAGTTTACTGTAAAATTTAGAATTTTTTTGTACCATAATTTACCATATATTTAATAGTGAAGTTCTGTCAACTACAGCTGCCAAATTTTCCCTGTTAATGTTATGATTTTTTTAACAGTGTACATAAACTGTAAAAAAAAATTACTGTAATATTAACAGTAAATATAAATAAAAAAATTATAAAAATATATTTTAAGAGCATTGGTAAGCAATAGCCACGGACTTTCAAAGTAGAAAAACATTATGGAAGTCAATGGCTCCTCAATTCCTACATTTCTAAAACAGTGTACATCTGTACACTGTAAAATTTACATCTGTACAACTGTAAAAATTACGGTAATGGTAAACAACTGTTTAAAATGCTACAGTAAAAATCCACAACCTGGTCAACAGTATGTTTCCTTAATATATATGATGGGCAGTGTTAGTCTCAAACACTAATGTGTAATACTGTTAATTAATAAATACGGTAGTTTACAGAAATTTAGAAAATTATTTGACAGTTTTTACCATATTTTTAATGGCACCATTCTAGTAAACATAAATAAAAATAAATAAATTTGATAGGTTTTTAAGTGTAAATAAACTGTAAAAAAATGACTGTAATAATAACAGTATAAAACTGTAAAAAAAAATGTTAGAGTAACTTTGTTAACAGAATGTTTCCTTAATATATATAATAGTTAGTGTTCTCTAAAACACTGGTGTGTAATTATATAAATTACTGAAATACATGGTATAGAAACATAAATAGTTTACTGTAAAATTTAGAAAAATGTTTACAGTTTTTACCATATTTTTAATGGTAAAGTTCTGGTAACTACTGTTGCCCTTTTTTTTTTAACTGTAACGTTAATTTCAGCGATAAAGAATTGTAAAAATGCTCGAGTAAAAATCTGAAACCAGGTCAACAGTATGTTTCCTCAATCTCACCGTAACAATATGTTTCCTCAAGTTTACTGTAAATTGATACTAAAAAGTTTACGGTTTATCCCATATTTTTACTGCTAAATTTCCTGCAACGACAGAGACCTTTTTTACCCACATAAATGTCATGGATATTTTTAACAGTTTACATAAACTGTAAAAAAATGTAATATTAATGGTAAAATAATATAAAATAATACAGTAAAAATCTGTAACTTTGTTAAAAGTATGTTTCCTATTTATATACGATGGGTAGTGTTAGTACTCTTAAACACTGGTGTGCAATACTATAAATTAATGAAATACGGTAGTTTACTGTAAAATTTTGAAAATTCTTTAATTGTTTCTACCGTATTTTAATTCTAAAGTTCTGGTAACCACAGCTGCCTTCTTATTTTTACAGTAAATTTGTAAAAAACAGTACATAATGTATGTGCAGTGTAAATGTGTACATAACCTATAATATAAGGTTTTTCCTGGGATATTGGCCTACCTTTCCCATTTGCATAGACATGGATCTTGATGAGCGTGGAACACCTTCATCTGAAATAAAAAATGAACATAAACATGCACACATTAGGGAGGAGGGAATCTTTTGAAGCACTCGATGATGGCTTGAAAACATGTTTCTTTTACCTCCAGTGTCCATTGAGCCCCCATAGCAGCGGTTGGAGTTTTGGTTGGCGAGCTTCTTAAACTCCATCAGCTCCGCGTGATCCTTCTCATACGTCCGTTTCAGATTCTCCACATACTGCATCATCACCTCCGTGGCCTTGTTCATTCTCTTTTCCTGTCAAAGCGTTACCATACAAATCAGCATATGCGGAACTCAATGTGTAAAGTGCATCTCCATTTCAAAAATAATGAAATGAAAATGATTAACATGTATGTATTACCTTCTACTAAAAAACCTGTAACGCTAATCAGGTCACATGACACAGCAACTTTTCCATGTGCACTGTCATATAAGCAACGTTAGCATTAGTCTCTAAGTATTTTAGGCTAATAATTTTAGGCTTGCCTTCAACCGGCTGTGAATGTACTGAAGGACAACCATGTGATTGGATGACTCAATTTTAACGTCTATACCGAATAATTGAACAGATTTACCTAATAAAGTGGCCGTTAAATGTATTACCTCATGAACTTGACATTCACTTTTTTGATTACCAGCCACTGTGGCTAGTAGATTTCCAACATTACTAACCACTCGCCATTTTCACTAGCCACACTTTTCTTGCTGGGAAAATATATTTTATTTGCATACATTTGACTTTGACATGCTAAAATGACTTGATTTAGATGATGTGTTATGTCCACATGATTTCTCATTCATTTAACTTCTTGTGTGAGCAAATGGGTTGCGTCGCAATGCAATCAGTATTTATTTCATGACTTTTCAGGGCTCAAAATTAAGGATTTACCAAACTTATCTCTGACCACACCAAATCAATATTTCTTAGCCACAAATTTTGAATGTGTCAAAACAAGGAAAATATAGCTTTATAGGTGCACTATTTAATTCAACAAACCTTTTCTTTAAAAAAAAAATATTACATTTAAAAAATAATTATTGTCATAAATCTAAAATATGCACAGTAATCTGTCTAGGCTAAAAGTCCCAGATCACCAGTTACCTACACATAAACGGGAAGCATAGATATATACATTAGATGTCGCCTGGCCTATTGTTGTCTATTGGAGGGAATGTGTCAATAGCGCCACCATCTTGCTACAGGGTAGCGCTCCTTTGAAATGAATGCGGGACCAAGGTACAGTGGAGGACTGTGGCCATCCAAACCCAGAGATAAACACATATACACATATATCTGTGATCGGGAGTTTTCCTGGATGTTAGTATGTAATTTTTTTTCTAGTTACGAAAATTATAATTTTACATCACTTTTCTACATTGATGGATCAGTGACCGCACGGGCATTCCTGACAAAAAGCTTGTGTTTGTGTGTATGGAAATGTACTATCCACCCTCCCTGTTAAATTTACTCTAATCATGTCCTGAAACACACCTCCGGCTTTCACTTCTCATACTGACGAAGGGAGCGATTCGTTTGTGAATGAATCCCCCGAACGACTCTTTCACTAACGTTAGCCGACAATAATAATAGTTTCTGGCAGCGCAGCATCTCGTTGTGATATTTCTTTTGCATTGTTTGCTGATTTTATTCAACAAAACTAGCATAAGCAGAGTGTTTAGTGCGAGTTGGAGCTGCTTTGGCGTATGGTGAATGCAGTAAGTGACTGTTATCATCAATAACGTTACCTGATTAGCACAAAAGTTCAGAACATACAAAAACAGAAAAAAACTTAATATTACCTATGAAATGTTCTGCCTTTGTGCTTTGTTTTCTTTCTTTGCTCTGTACTACACCCGTAGACAGCGCTAAAGTCCAGCATCTTCACGTAATAACACTGTTTTGACTAGTGCAGTTGAATGACATTTGTCCTGGGAGCACTGTACCAATGTGGCGGCGCTATTGACGCATGCTCAGGGTCCCTATGTGATATCTAGTGTATATATCTATGAACGGGAAGTAATCTCCCATTGAAGCAAACTTATTGTAAACTAAATATAATTAAATAATATTAACAAAAATAAATGTAAGCCAAAGAAAGCAGGTGAAACATACAATGTCTGATAATGAGAGGATGTTTAATATAGGCCTTTTAATAATCTGTTTAAAGAATATTATAGGCCTTAATATAGGCCTTTTAATAATAAAAGAATTATTTAAATGAAAGCAGTGACCGCTGCTGCTTAGATAAAAAATGTGTATTTTTTTAAAATCTTGAGCTCTCGAAAGCAGCAGGACTGTCTGTGGATGAATGATCATCGCTCTTTGTCTAGTCTATTTCAGATTGCACCAGTTTCAGATTGCACCACGCTTTTTAACATCACATCACCTATGCACGCGAGTGATCATCCTCTCGTTCGGTATTTACCTTCTTTTTTGCTGTGTTGCTCGCGCGAACACATTTATTTGTCAGTCGTGCTGCTTCTCGATTCTAAGATCACATTTGCACGAATATTGGGGCATGCTTATTGTCGAACCCTGCTTTTAAGAAAACTACACATTGTAGCAGATTTTCAACCAGACAAAGTGGCTAGTGGAGGTGTCTGTCTAACCAACACAATCTCACGACAATTTGTAACTTTTTCATTTAGTGGCTAATTCGTATGAATTCGTACGATCTAATTCGTACAATTTAGTACGATTTGCTCATCAACCAAAGACGGTTTTGGTTAGGGGTGGGATTAGGTGCCACGCCTCCTTTTTAAAATCGTACCATTTCGTACGACTGAACTCGTACGAATTCGTACGAATTAGCCACTAAACTGGCAAAACGTAAAATACTTACGTTTTCTCGTGTGATCAGGCTGGTCTAACCCACCACAGCTGAAATCTACGCGCATTTGGCGGGTGTTAATGTAAAGCCCTGCTCATGACTATTAATTATGTGATTTGAGGTAACCAATGCATTTGGCAGATAACACTATTCACACACTAATCGCACAACATTCTTTAAATAAAATAATAATCTACCCAACTTGGATATAATACATCAATCTGTGTGTTTTTTTATATCATTGCTAGACTAGAAATTATGTTGAGTCCAGGCCTTGTCTTAAATAATATAAAGCAAATTATCAGTCAGTCGACAGGGTGGCGCAGTGGGTAGCATGTTCACCTCACAGCAAGAAGGTCGCATTTCTGTGTGGAGTTTGCATGTTTTCCCTGTGTTCGCGTGGGTTTTCCATAGACATGGTACAGGTGAATTGGGTTTGTTAAAATTAACCATAGTGTATGACTGTGTGTGTGAATGAGTGTGTATGGATGTTTCCTAGTTATGGGCTGCGAGTTAAGGGCATCCGTTGTGTAAAACATATGCTGGATAAATTGGTGGTTCATTCCGCTGTAGTGACCCCAGATTAATAAAGGGACTAAGCCGAAAAAAAAATGAATGAACAAAAATTATCAGTCAATGGTAGGTAGTTAATCGTAACTCTTTAATTTAAGGTGGCATAGTTAGTCATGTTCCATGCTCTTACTATAGTAATTACAATGAATTATGCACAATTATATGTAACTAATCCCAAACCTAACCCACATTCTAACACAACCATGTAGTAAGTACATGTAATTAATTTATATTACTGAGTAGTTAAATAAATAACTGTTACTACACTACCTGACAAAAGTCAAGTTGTCGATCCCAGTTAAATAATAACTTGACTTGTAGTTGATCATTTGGAAAAGTGGCAGAAAGTAGATTTTTTAGATAAATCATTTGTTGAACTGCCTCTCAATCATCACAAAAACTGCAGAAGACCTACTGGAACCTGCATAGACCCAAGATCGTCATAGAAATCAGTCAAGTTTGGTGAAGGAAAAATGGTTTGGGGTTACATTCAGTATGGGGGCGTGCGAGAGATCTGTTCAGTGGGTGGCAACATCGACAGCCTGAGGTATCAAGACATTTGAGATGCCCGTTACATTAGAAACCACAGGAGAGGGCAGATTCTTCAGCAGCATAGCGCTCCTTCTCATACTTCAGCCTCCACATCAAAGCTCCTGAAAGCAAAGAAGGTCAAGGTGCTCCTGGGTTGGCCAGCCTAGTCACAAGATATGAACATTATTGAGCATGTCTGGGGTAAAATGAAGGCATTGAAGGTGAATCCAAAGAATCTTGATGAACTCTAGAAGTCCTGCACTTTCTTTGCCATTCCAGATCACTTCACTAATAAGTGATTTGAGTCATTGCAGAGATGTATGGATGCAGTCCTCCAAGCTCATGGGAGTCATGCACAATATTGATTATTTTTCCACTGCACCATGACTTTATATTCAATGCTGGACATTATTTCTGTTAAGTGACAAGACTTTTGTCTGAGAAAAGTCAGATCTTACTGTCCTAATTAAATAATTAAAAATCAAGGCATGATCATATTTTATTTTGGTAAAATAAACGTAATCTAGAGGCCTTTGCCTTTCATATAGACACTTCTGATACCAAATGATCAACTAGAAGTCAAGTTATTATTTGTTTTTCCTTAAACCTGGATAGGCGACAAGACTTTTGTCAGGTAGTGTGTCAGCTTACAATAATGCAATCAATGAGAGACTTTAAGGGCAACAGGACTGTCAGGTTACTTGACTAGTTTGTCCAAATAAATAGTAGATTTAGGATGTTACTACAATGATTTTAAAGCAGCATCGATGGCCTCAATATTATTTGTATCATCAGTCATTATTAATGGGGATGAAAGAGCAAGGTGATAATACAGTACTTGCAGGGAACCCATGCAGGGTTTAATATTAACAGTGTCGCCACTCGCAACAGACGTACCGCTGAGCGTTTCTGTGGTTTATTTTGGCTTGTGCATTAACCCAAGGGCAAGCATGACACTTATCTAAATCTATTACAAACATATCTTATCTTCTGAAAAACCAACATTCCCATCTAATGCATTCTCTACTCCAAGAACAGAAATGAGGGGCATTAGGTGCGGTCACTTGAGCCAAATATTGCATGTCAAAATGTCTGTTCATTGTCAACAGTGAAGAAGTGTATAAAGCCCAGAACACATATTGTAGTAGTCACTTTCAAAGCAAGTTCTGTTGTCCAACATGACGAATATGCATTATGAGTGAAATTGGTTCAGTGAAAAACTCCACCAAAGGCTTTATTTTTTTGCGTAGATTATGGTTTTATAGTGATAAGAAAATCATTTATAAGAAATCATCTTTTTTAATCAGTCTGTATTCCAGAGTTTCAATTATTTTTAATATTGTTTTAATATTGTCCGGGTAATATTACTGCAGGTGGCTGTTTCTCCGAGGAAGGTGGAGAGGTGTTTTCTCCATGTTTTGTACGATCTGCTAAAATCGAATACAATGCTGCGCCTGGGATAATTGTGTTTATTGTTTTCTGATAAGAGAAATTGTTTAATTTTAGGCAAGGCAAGTTTATTTATATAGCACTTTTCATACATAGTGGCAATTTAAAGTGCTTTACATAAACAAGAATGAAAGAGGCAAGAATAAGAAAATAAATAAAAAATAAATAATTAAAAAAACAGTTAAATACAAATAAAAATGTGTTAAAACAGGTTTTAAAAGAATGAAAATGAAGAGAAAGTCATAATAGTGCGATCTGCCGGACGTAGCACAGTGCTCATTCAGTAAAGGCAAAGCTAAACAGATGTGCTTTCAGTCTTGACTTGAATGTGCCTACTGTTGGAGCACATCTGATCATTTCTGGAAGCTGATTCCAGCAGTAGGGGGCGTAGTAGCTGAAAACTGATGCTTTGACTGAACTCTTGGAATTTCTAGTTTATATGATCCCAAAGATCTGGGTGATCTGTTACGCCCCATTAACTCGTGGCTTCAGCATCAACGCTTGACTGAAGGCGTGTCTGAAGTTGGGGCTATCGCGACCGTCATAGCAGCGTCAGCCAATGAAATTCAGTCAGCAATAGGCCACTGTCTAGCTGATGTATTTGCATACAGCGATCTGATTGGCTGACGCTTCTGTCGGCGCTTAAAAAGTTGAGCTAGTCCCAATTTCTGCAGTGAGCAACGCCTCTGAAGTGGTGCCGTGTAAGCCAGGCGCACAACTAACGCGCTCTGCGCTGGACTTTAGACCGGCTTTGTTCTGGTCTATTGACAAATCTATTATAGTTTCTCAAAATAGCAACGCGCCAGCAATACACCTCAACATGCCTCCCCTTTTAGAACGCCTATGGGCGCACATATGAGCACAAATGCATTTGCTATTTAAACAGCGTGGCACAAAACTTCAAAATGACTCTTGCGCCAAGCTGAAACTAGCAAACAACAATTGCCTCGCGCCTTGCGCCACATTGCACCGGGTGTATGATAGGGCCCTTAATCTGAAAACAAACAGGAAGTGCATTTTCAGATTACAATTTTAGATTACAAGGGTAAACATGTATTTGCCTTAATGACATGCACAGATGAATTGTTTACCACAAAACTAGCAATGTGAGCTACCAAAAACAGTATGGTTAGTTTTGATTTCATTTGTACTTTAAATAAATGCAAAATGTAACCGCACTTTTAGTAGCTGACAGGAGGTTATGAGTTTTCGATGATCATCTCACCTGCCTCACGGCTCCCACCATTTCTGCCCTGCTGGAGAGTCGGATGGTTAGACGGTGCAAAACAGCGATTGTTTCTAAAAGGTTTTGATAAAACTCCCGCTGCTCGACATTCTGCCACAATGACACAGTGCTCTGGAAATGAGACGTCAACAGACATCTGTTATACTGCAGTTTACTTCAAAAGTGTGCAAAAGTGTGCAACTCTTTGCAATGGATTCAGATCTAACCTTGAGGGTGACTTTAAACTCTTCCAGTTCCTTCTCCAGGTTTTCCTCAGTCAGGTTGCGCTCTCTTTCCGCCTGTTTCTGCCGTGACTCCAACGTGTAATTGTCGTTGCGGAAGGCCAGAGACAGCTGAACAAAAGCATTCTGCAGGAAAAAGAAGGCCATTAGATTATATATATATATGTATGTATATATATATATATATATATGTATATATATATATATATATATATATATATATATATATACATGTGAAGTCAGATTTTTAGCCTCCTTGAATTATTAGCCCCTTGTTTATTTTTTTTCCATAATTTCTGTTTAACGGAGAGAAGATTTTGTTCAACACATTTCTAAACATAATAATTTAAATAAATTATTTCTAATCACTGATTTATTTTATCTTTGCTATGATGAAAGTACATAATATTTTACTAGATATTTTTAAGACACTTCTATACAGCTTACAGTAACATTTAAGGGCTTAACTAGGTTAATTAGGTTAACTAGGCAGTTTAGGGTAATTAGGCAAGTTATAGTATAATGATGGTTTGTTCTGTAGACTATCGGAAAATATATAGCTTAATGGGGCTAATAATTTTACCCTTAAAATGTTTTTTTAAAAATTAAAACTGCTTTTATTCTAGCCTGAATAAAACAAATAAGACTTTCTCTAGAAGAAAAAATATCAGACATACTGTGAAAGTTTCCTTCCTCTGTTAAACATCATATATATATATATATATTTACAGATATTTACATTTGTTTATTTGCTATAAATGCTCATGTTGTTCTGTGCATGTACTTGAGTATTTAAAGCTACAGTTCTGACTGTTTGTATTAAAGGACAACATTGTATTACAAATAATATATAAACATAAATATGTTTTTACTTTTTTCTTGTGCTGTGAAGTAAAATATAAAATTGTGCATGAAAAGCATCATCAATGCACCGAGATATCGAATTTAACCAAATTGAGGGTATAATAATCATAACCGAAACCAAACCGTAAGACCAGTGTAGGGTCTCACCTATAATATATATACAGTTGAAGTCAGAATTATTGGCCTCCCTTTGATTCTTTTTTAAACATTTCCCAAATGATGTTTAACAAAGCAAGGAAATTTTGACAGTGGGTCTGATAATATTTTTTCTTCTGGAGAAAGTGTTAATTGTTTTATTTTGGCTAGAATAAAAGCAGTTTTTAATTTTTTAAACACAATTTTAAGGACAAAATTATTAGCCCCTTTAAGCTATATTATTTCGATAGTCTACAGAACAAACCATCATTATACAATAACTTGCCTAATTACCCTAACCTGCCTAACTAACCTAATTAACCTAGTTAGGCCTTAAATGTCACTTTAAGCAGTATAGAAGAGTCTTGATTATTTACTGTCATCATGGCAAAGACAAAATAAATCAGTCATTAGAGATGAGTTATTAAAACTATTATGTTTAGAAATGTGCTAACATTTTTCTCTCTCCGTCAAACAGAAATTGGGGACAAAAATAAACGGGGTGGGGGGGGTTATTATTATTATTATTAATAATAATAATACACACACACACACACACACACACACACACACACACACACACACACACACAGTATATATACAGTATATATATATATATATATATATATATATATATATATATATATATATATATACTGTAGTATTTACTAAATTACAAAATATTACAATATTAATATATTAAATATTACAAAACAGTTGTTCTCAGCTGGCCCTCCAGTTTAACAATTTAGAGTCAATACATCTCATGCGCAGTGGAAAGGATAAATGCAGAAGTCATAAAAAATGCTGCTATAAAAACTGTGATATAATGGTACCATATCTTACAGGAAAGGTAGTAACTATTTTATGAGGTGGTAATTTCTCTTTAATTCATATCAGATGAATCATATAAACAAAAAAGTATTTTTAGAAAAAAAAAAAAAAGAGCGTGGAGTAAAAGTAAGCCAGTTTCTCTATTCATAAATGTTTTTTTACCAAAAAGTAAAACAATTGCAAATTGACATGATCACATTATTATAACATTAAATAGTATTAAATGATTCATTTGATGGCTTAAGTTTATAAACAAAAATATTTAAGCACACTGTTTCTACATCTTTAAAATATCCAGTGTAAGTCGGAATTATTAGCCCGCCTTAGATTTTTTTTGTCTTTTATAAATATTTCACAAATGATGTTGAACAGAGCAAAGAAATTTTTACAGTGTGTCTGAAAATGTTTGTTCTTCTGAAGAAAGTCTTATTTGTTTTATTTCAGCAAGAATAAAAGCAGTTTATAATTTTTTAAAACCCATTTAAAGGTCAATATTATTAGCCCCTTTAAGCTCATTTTTTTGATAGTCTACAGAACAAACCATCGTTATACAATAACTTGCCTAATTAGCCTAACCTGACTAGTTAACCTAATTAACCCAGTTAAGCCTTTAAATGTCACTTTAAGCTGTATAGAAGTGTCTTGAAAAATATCTAATCAAATATTATTTACTGTCATCATGGCAAAGATAAAATAAATCAGTGATTAGAGATGAGTTATTAAAACTATTATGTTTAGAAATGTGCTGAAAAAATCTTCTCTCCGTTAAACAGTAATTTGTCTGGAAAAATAAAGATGGGGCTAATAATTTTGACTTCAACTGTATAAAAAGGCTAATTTGCATGCCCTGATTAACAACCACTGAATTATATGTCAAGAAAAGATTACAAATACTGCAAAATTAAAAATTAAAAAATGAAATGTATATTTAAAATAGGATGCTAAAACACCAAGCTTCCACTGTCTGAAACTTTTACTATTATAAACAGTTATCATGCCAATATATGTAATAATATAACATGCCGAATCTCCATAGACTCGTGATTTAATGTCAAATAAATGGCATTTTAATTAATTGATTAAAATGCCATAATTAATTAATTGATTTATTTTATTGATGTTGTGTTACTAACAAGCAATTTACTTATTGTAACTGTAATATTTTTGCCAATATAAGTGCTTTTTATCTTAATATATTTTAAAATGCCATTTATTCCTGTGACAACACAGCTGAATTTTCATCCTTACTCTCATGTAAAATATACATTTTAATATGCAGATTTTCTTCTTAAGAAATATATATTTTACATATCAAATCCAAACTTTTTAACAATATTGTATATGCGATTTGTTGATCTTGTATGATTAATTTATCCTATCATATACATAGCAGGCAAACAACTCAACATGAGGTGCTTTTGAGGACATTCCAGATCAAACCAGAGCAGGACGGAGGAAAGCAGCAATATTGATGGGATTTTTACTGTCAGGATCAAAGAGTTCAGCGGCGGTGAGACCAGTATTGTCCTAATAATCGAGAGGAAAAATACCTCCAGCCCTTGACCCTCGCAAGCGTCATCCTGGGAGCAGATTGTGTTCACAAAAGGCATGTTTGTTTCCTCACAGGGACAGGAACTCACTACAGTAAAACCCATCAAATTGCTATGCCCTAAGCCTGGATCAGGAGCACAAACAGCCTTCGTGTACATAACAAAACAGCCTGATTCTGGAACACACTATGCTGAACCAGTGGTGCTGTCATCCTGACTGTAAGTTCTTAGATGATATACAGGACTAAAAACTGTAAATTCCTATATTATAAACAGGATTCATAATGGGCCGAGAAAACACAGCAAAAATAATAATCAAATAATAATTTTAATATACTATTATTATTATAATGATTATTATTGTTGTTGAGGCAGTGTGGTGGCGCAGTAGGTAGTGCTGTCGCCTCACAGCAAAAAGCTCGCTGGTTCGAGCCTCGGCTGGGCCAGTTGGCATTTCTGTGAGGAGTTTGCATGTTCTGCCAATGTTCGTGTGGGTTTCCTTTGGGTGCTTATTTTCTTTTTGGCTCAGTCCCTTTATTAATCAGGGGTTGCCACAGAGTAATGAACCACCAACTTTTCCAACATATGTTTTACGCAGCAGATGCCCTTCTGTGAGACACCCATACACCCTCATTCACACATATATACAGATAATTTAGCTAACCCAATTCACCTATAGCGCATGTCTTTGGACCGGAGCACCCGAGGAAACCCACGACAACACGGGGAGAACATGCAAACTTCACACTGAAATGTCGACTGATCAAGCCAAGGCTCAAACTAGCAACCTTCCTGCCTGAGAGGCGACAGTGATTCCCACTGTGTCACCGCACCATCCATTAGTTTAATAAAATATGAAAATATTTATTATGACTATTGTTGTTATAATTATATAAATTTTATTATTTTAAAAAAATGTTATTATCCTTATTATTATATAAATGATACTACTACTACTACTACTGCATCTAATAATAATAATAATACATTTGTATTATTATTTTTATTATAATTATATTATTAAATGTATTGTTTAATACAATTATTTTTTATTATTAAAATAATATTATCATTGTTGGTGTTATTATTATAAACATTTCATTATTTAAAAATTATTATTATTATTATTATTATTATTAATATATTATTTGTATTATTATTATTTTATTATTAAATAATATGTATTATTATTGTTGTTATTATTGTAAACATTTTATTGTTTAATAAATTATTATTATTATTATTATTATATTATTTATATTATTTGTATTATTATTATTATTATTATTATTATTAAATAATATTTATTATTGTTGTTATTATTATGAACATTTTATTTTTTTAGTAAAATATTATTATTATTATCATTGTTATATTATTTGTATTATTATTATTATTATTTATAAATAATATTTATTATTATTGTTCTTATTATTATAAATATTTTATTGTTTAATAAAATTTTATTTTTATTATTATTATTATATTATTATTATTATTATTATTATTAAATAATATTCTTATTATTGTTGTTATTATATAAACATTTTATTGTTTAATAAATTATTATTATTATTATTATTATTATTATTAGGTAGGCTATATTGTCCGTAGTGTATGTGTGTGAATTAGAGTGTATGGATGTTTCCCAGTGATGGGTTGCAGCTGGAAGGGCATCCGCTGCGTAAAACACATGCTGGATACTAAAAAATATAAGCAATTTTGGTATTGTTCATATTGGGGTATACCTATTAGGAAGTCCACGGTAATGTGTAGTCTTTAAATAAATGCCAGTGTGTGCACAGATTCAAGCTCAAAAACATTTATTTTAGCACTTATTTAAACCATCTTCTAGCCTCTAGAACAGGGGTGTCAAAACACGGTCCTGGAGGGCGGGTGTCCTGCATAGTTTAGCTTCAACACACCTGTTTGGAAGTTTCTAGTATGCCCAGAAAAAGCTAGATTAGCTGTTTTAGGTGTATCTAATTGGGGTTGCAACTAAACTCTGCAGGACACCAGCCCTCCAGAAATGAGTTTGGCCACCCCTGCTCTAGAAAGATGGAATAAACTGAATTTTGCAGAGCTTTAGCTTTTTTGGTCATGTGCAGATCATATTTAAAGTGTGGTTATGAATTTATGCAGCCAGACATTTTGTGACTTTGAACATGACTTAGTACAACAGTGTTATTTTAAATAGTATCTTTATGTTTTGAAATAAGAATATACACACCTCAACTTCCTTCTCTGAGAGCGGTGGTGCGCTGCAACAACAATCAAAAAAGGGATAGAAGAAAAGAGATTAAACGTCACAATTCTAAGACTTTTTTTTCTTAATGTGTGAATGATGGTTTAGTGAGCAGCGCACCAGCCAGTTGAACCTCTGTGCAGTTTGAGTTTGCGGAGCATCACGTCTGAAATGTTAGGCATGGCATCAGGCTTCTCTTTGGTCTCCTCTTCACTTGGAGAGCTTATGAGTGGAGAAGGTGGACCTGAAAGATACATTTAAAAGGGCATATTTAGGAGAACTAGAAAAATGAAAGAGTTTTGTGGTATAAGAAATATTTTGAATACAAAACAAAATATTTTGAATAATGCTGAAAACCTGCAAGAATTTAATTCCATAGTATTTCCTTTACTATGGATGTCAATAGTTACCAGTTTTCAGCTTTTTATTTCTTTTTCAAACGTCTCCTTTTGTGTTCTACATAAAGAAAAGAAACTCATACGGGTTTATAACAAACCTTATTAGTATATAGTGAATATTGTTTTTCAATTTTTGGTTGAACTATCCCTTTAACTGTGATACACGGGCTGCCATCTAGTGGTGAAGGATTATAGTTACAGTCAAAAATCTACTCCTTGTAGTAACATAAAATCAGTATGAAAACAAATACATGGAGATTAAAAATGGTATATATAAAGGAATCATGAAGCTAAATTTAATAAGTCCATTTAAGACTAAGTTATATAACATGTGCTGGATAAGTTGGCAGTTCATTCCGCTGTGGTGACCCCGTATTGATTAAGGGACTAAGCCGAAAAGAAAATGAATGAATGAATGAGGAGGATCTAGAACATACACAAGGTTGAGTTAATGAGAGAATGTTCACATTTGAGTGAGATGCATGTCACCTAAGCCAGAATTGTTTAAGACAATCTGCAATAAGCATATCCACAAACCAAATATATATATTAATGCAATATTATCTCACCTCGTTCCTGCTCAGCAATTTCATTCAGATCAGGAAGCTTCGAGCTGGAGATGCTCTGGTTACGAACAAGTTTGTGTTCCTACAGGAGAGGGGGAAAAAAGATGAACCAGCTTTAAAAATAGTGATTTGTGTAAACTTAGGACATTATATTCCCTTTCCTCTGCCAAGTGGACCCAAAAAAATAAAAAATAAAATAAAAAAAATCATCAAAGCTATAAAAGGCACATTAAACTACTTAAACAAAACTGGCTACGCCAAAGATATCAAAGAATTACCTCACAAATGACCTCACTGATAATCAGCTTAAAACCTGCGTCTTTGAAAACTGAATAAAAAAGTGGGTGTAGGAATCATCTGAATAAATAAATACTTTCATTTGTAACGACAAAGTAGATGTTCATTTTGTTGTCACAGCAGTAACCCAGTTTAATACTCAATTATCCATGTGAGCAAATTGACAAAAATCGTAGTAAACTGTTTGTTGAATATGAAACGCAATAACTTTTCACATTTCTTGTGGGCTGCAGCTGGTTTTACACGTTTATGTGTCAAGAGTATTTAGTAATTGATTTCATTTGGCTTTCTTTATTATAGTAACCTAGGCTTAATTATGTGGCATAAGGCAAAAAAGGGCTATTTAAATTAATTTTGCATCAAAAAAGCTTGTTGATATTGATAGGAGTATGCAACTTTTGTGAAGCATAAAATCCCCAGTATATTAGATATCAAAACGTGTGCATGACTCCCATAAAATATTATTCCTTAAAAAAAAAACTATAAAACAAAACAGGAATTTTGGCCATGTCTATTATCATACACAAATTGTAATAAAGCTGGGTTGGTACCTTAAAATAGTATGCGTTTGGATCAAGAAATGTCATATCATCTCTTTGAATCCCTTGGGGAAGACCACCCCCATGACAGTTTTTGTATTTTATTTTGGAGTGTAGATTACATTACAGTTTTAAACTTATAATGTAAAATATATTTATAAAAAAAGAATATATTTATTATTTAAACGATTTTACAATTGTTCCAAGAATACAGTGCATCCGGAAAGTATTCATATTGCTTCACTTTTAACCACATTTTTTTTTTGTTACAGCCTTATTCCAAAATGGATTAAATTCATTTATTTATTTCCTCAAAATTCTACACACAATACCCCATAATGACAATGTGAAAAACGATTTTTTGAAATCGTTGCAAATTTTTAAAAAATATTGACAGCCTTTGCTCAATACTTTGTTGAGGCACCTTTGGCAGCAATTACAGCCTCAAGTCTTTTTGAACATGAAACCACAAGCTTGGCACACTTTTCTTTGGGAATTTTTGCCCGTTCCTCTTTGCAGTACCTCTCAAGCTCTATCAGGTTGGATGGGAAGCAAGGGCGTATAGCCATTTTCAGATCTCTCCAGAGATGTTTAACATGACTTAAGTCTGGGCTCTAGCTGGGCCACTCAAGGACATTCACCAAGTTGTTGTAAAGCCACTCCATTGATATTTTGGCAGTGTGCTTTGGGTCATTGTCCTGCTGAAAGATGAACTGTCACCCGGTCTGAGGTCAAGTGCAGTCTGAAGCAGGTTTTCATTCAGGATGTCTCTGTACATTGCTGCATTCATCTTTCCCTCTATCCTGACTATCTTCCAGTCCCTGCTGCTGAAAAACATCCCCACAGCATGATGCTGCCACCACTATGCTTCACTATAAGAATGGTATTAGCCTGGTGATGAGCGGTGCCAAAGAGTTAAATTTTAATTTCATCAGACCAGAGAATTTTGGTTCTCCTCTCTCCACAGAAGAACGCTGGAGCTCAGGCAGAGTGATCATTTGGTTGTTGATTACCTCCCTGACTAAACCCCTTCTCCTCCCTGATCACTCAGCTTAGATGGCCGGCCAGCTCTAGGAAGAGTCCTGGTGGTTCCAAACATCTTCCACTTACGGATGATGGAGGCCGCTGTGCTCATTTGAACTTTCAGAGCAGCAGAAAATTTTCGGTATAACCTTCCCCAGCCTTGTGCCTCGAGACAACCCTGTCTCGGAGATCTACAGACAATTCCTTTGTCTTCATGCTTGGTTTGTGCTTTGACATGCACTGTCAACCCTGTGACCTAATAGACAGGTGTACGCCTTTTCAAATCATGTCCAATCAACTGAATTTACCAAAGATGAACTCCAATTAAGCTGCTGAAACATCTCAAGAATGATTAGTGGAAACAAAATGTACCTGAGCTCAATTTAGAGCTTCAAGGCAAAGGCTGTAAATACTTCTGTACTTGTGATTTTTCAGGTTTTTTTTAATTTTTATTAATTTGCAACCATTTCAAAAAAATCTTTTTTCACATTGTCATTATGGGGTTTTGTTTGTAGAATTTTGTGGAAATAAATTCATTTAATCCATTTTGGAATAAGGCTGTAACATAAACATGTGTGGAAAAAGTGAAGCGCTTTGAATACTTTCCGGATGCACTGTATATAGCCTATAGGTTACTTCTGTAAGAAAATATCAGCATTCAGTACATACTTTTAGCATCACCTTTGCTTAAAATGACCCAATCTAATACTGTTTATATGAAATCAGCTACAGCTCTTGAGCAGGTTTGAGCTGTCAGACCTGTTGGTATGTCAACAACTCTTGGAAGAGCTTTGAATAACAAAACTATGCTGGATTGTGTCCAATTATCAATAACGAAATCCAGCTAATTGATTAATCCATGTACGAAGACTCCTGTTGACTAAAAAAACACAATAAAGAATTACCTCGCGTAATTTGGAGAGTTTCTGGACGCCCCCAGGCGGCACAGGGAAATCCTTGTACCCGGAGGACATGAACAGAGACTCTCTTTGCTTGTCAGGGAACGAGGGACCGTCCTCTCCTTTGGGAGCAGCGTTCCTCATGTTCATGGAGCCCACTATGTCCCAGGACACGGCTCTCATCAGTGGAGGGAAGGCCCCGATAGTTTTGATTTCAGCTGTACAGGGGGCCTGTTGTGTGGGAGGTCGAGGTACGGGTTTGGCCACTCCTGTAGCTAGAGGCTGAGTGATGCCACGGCTTGGACTCTCCTCTTTTTTCTGGCCCGCATGTTCAGAGTTCTTGCCCTTTTCTGCGGGTCCGTGATGCTCCGGTCTGTCCTTCTGAAGCGCAGAGGGCTCTCTGGCTGGGATAGCAGTGGTGTAGCGGGGGGTTAATGTACCAGAGGACACTTTTCGCTTGTCACTGGGCATCCACTCAACTAGCCTTGAGAACGTCTGAGGAGGACAAGAGCAAAAAAGTGAATTAAATTATTAAGAGAATGAACAAGAGAATCAGAGCGTGTGTACACAGAATGCAGAAACACAAGTATTTTTTTTCTGTTCTTGTCTATGGAAGACAATCGAGAAAAAAAAAAAACAAATATATTTCATAAGGGAGCTTTTAAAGGAAAACAATACTGCTTTTATTACCAAAAAAAAAACAAAAAAATAAGGCTTTATCCAGATGGAAAAACAAAATATTATAGGAAATACTGTGAACATGTCCTTGCTCTGGTAAACATTTGATAAGAAAGAATACAAATTCCATAGTAGGGCTATTAATTTGCCCTCATCTGCACATTTACAAGTTGCAATATTTGAAACACTGAAGAAAATACAGTACTGTGGAAAAGTCCCAAGCACTATAACAGCTTTGTTGGCCTAAAACAGATGGGCCTCAGCGATACTGGAGGTGGGCTGAGAGATTAACTTAATTATCATACTATAATTATTTGATTTCATTATTAAATAAATTTTCTATAAAAATGATTGGTGTAATGGCATTTCCCGTTTTCTGTTATTGATTACTTCAGACTCGATGCAAATAGAGCCTCACTGTAAAATACAGACTTAACCGTGGCTGCACTTCCAACTGCTGCACGTCAACTAGGACTACATGCTCGGCTGTATAAAGCAAACCGTCACACAAGTGTACAGGTAACGATGATTAGAGTTATAATCAGTTCGCTGTGCCTGCTGTTTCACAAACTATGCGTGCTCTTTTTCTGTGAACTCTTTAAAATATCATCATAGTTGTCCAAATTAGTGTTTTATAACGCGAATGCGAGGGTTTTATAACAGACGGGCGCCCATACAGGAGGATCTAGTGAGACTTGGTTTTAGTGAACAGCTAATCACTACTGCCAGCAAACTCCAATAATATCCCAAATATTAACCGACTTATAGGGGTTTTACTGTATTTTAATTATTATTATTATTATTTTTTTTAATGGACATGATCAATAGATAAATAGTAGTCAGGGCAATTCAAAGCAGCAACTTTTTTTTTGTCATCTGTTGTCCTGTACAGGTTCATTTATTAAAGAATAGGCCCAAATAGCCTACTCTGCAGTTGTAAAAAAGACCTGAACAATTCAGGAGCTTTAAATCTGTGTGTGTTTAAAAAAACAAATAAAATATATATGTACTATTATATATTATTATATTATTCATTCATTCATTTTTTTTCAGCTTAGTCCCTTTATTAATTTGGGGTCGTCACGGTGGAAAAAACTGCCAACTTATGTATAACATGTCTTTGGACTTGTGGGGGAAATCGGAGCACCAGGAGGAAACCCACGCAAACATGGGGAGAACATGCAAACTCCACACAGAAATGCTAAGTGACCAAGCCGAGGCTCGAACCAGCGACCTTCTTGCTGTGAGGCGAACGTGCTACCCACTGCTCCACCGCATCGCCATTATTATATTATATATAAACTAAATAAACATTTTTTTTGTTTTTTATAAAATGCTGTAGAAAAAAAGATGATTATAGTATGAGCAAAATAAACGTTTTACTAATAAATAAAGGTTTAAAATAAGCATTTTCTCTAGTCAATCATTTTAAGAAAAAATGTCAGATGTGGGCCTCCAAATTTATTTGGTGGGCCCATAAATGAAAAAGGTTGAGAACCCCTGGCTTATAATTGACCAATCAATCAGTCTGAAAATGTAGGAAGTATGTACAAAAAACAACAACAACTGCAAAACAATTCCTCTTCAAGCAACATTCTATGTTTAATGTGGCTTATTTTGGCACCAAGCACAGCTTAAACTGTTTTGTTCAAATAGTCCTGACATTTTCTGAAATAATGTGCTGTGTAATATCAGCCTTCTTTTAACACTTTCAGAGTTCTTCTTCGGGTTTAGAGTGTCATTTTTTTTTCTGTTTCTGTCCAGGTGATCTCATACAGCATCTGTAATATTTAGGTCTGGACCCTGTGGAGGCCATTTCATGACTGTCTGTGTTTTATCAGTTGTTTTCTTTCTCTAAAGAGGATTAGTTTGCAATTAGCTGATTATTATCATGCTGAAAATAAAAACTATTACCACTATAATCCTTTCCAGAAGGAATGGCATAATGGATTAAAACCTATCTGCATTTTTCAACATTCACAATTCCATCAATATCAATACTAGAAATGCAGGTCAAACCAAGACAAACAGCCTCTCTCCAACATTGTCTTTCACATGCCGTACACAATTAAACCAAAACAACTAACCTAACCTACCTACTGTCCTAAAAAACTATACATCAACTAAAAGATCAGTTATTCACCCTGTATAAATCTCAATTCAATTCCTCTTTATTTCTATAGCACTTTTACAATGTAGATTGTGTCAAAGCAGCTTAACAAAGACATTATAGTAAATTGAAACAGTGTCCGTCCAGTTTTCAGAGTTGAAGTTCAGTTAGTTTAGTTCAGTCTGGTTTATTTTTTACTGCTGAAAGTCCAAACACTGAAGAGCAAATCCATCGATGCACAGCTCCACAAATCCCAAACCAAGTGGGCCATGCACCGGAGGCTGATTTTGATTTAATCTCAATTAAAATAAAAGAAAGAAAAACACTTATGACTGGTTTTGTGGTAAAGGGTCAAATATATCCATTAAACCATCAACAAAACAACAAAAATAGTGTTGGCCTAAAACAGAGGTGGCCAACCCTGTTCCTGGAGAGCCACCATCCTGCAGATTTCAGTTGCAACCTATACCAAACACACCTGCCTGTAATTATCACGTGGTGTTCAGGTCCTAATTAATTGGTTCAGGTGTGTTTGATATGGGTAGCAACTGAAATCTGCAGGAAGGTGGCTCTCCAGGAACAGGGTTGGCCACCCCTGGCCTAAAATGATTGCGAAGTACTGTAGATTAAATTGAGGAATAACACAAACCTCTTGCTCAGGCTTGCTTGTATCCCCTTGGTCATGGTTAGACGGCACCTCTAAATGCTGGACACAAACAGAAACAATACAGCAATTATCATCACTAATGGGACACAATATCAATGTTATACTAAAAGAATGACAAGCAAGTTTCACCTGAGTTAAGGAGGGACTCGCTGGAGGAGTTTGACTGACTTCAGGACCTAATGGAGCAAACAAAACTGCTCAATTTGATCAACCAAAGCAAATTAATAAGATAAAATGTGACAGAAAGCACAGGACGCTACCTAATGCAGAGGGAGAGGAGAGCGAACTGCTTCTGGACGGTCTTGGGGAGGAGGAGGGCGTCGGGTTCGGGGAGAGAGCTGAAACCAAACATGACATTAATAAATTGTGGATGTCATTATGCTTTATGTTCAACCTGTGAATAGGGTTGAATTGAAAAGCAAGATAAAGGAGGCATTCCAGATATTTAGGACATGTACATGAAGTTACAGTCTGATAAGAAAGGAATTTGCAAAAATCAAAAAATAGACAATCTACTTCTGAAATAATAATTTGGTAACACTTTACAAAAAGGACCTATTAATTAATTCAGTTTTAGCAACCCCATATTAATAAAGGGACTAAGCCTTGTGAGTAGTGTTAGTGAGGCCAACAGGCAGCACTCAACCTGAGGTCCACTTGGGTCCTAATGCCCCAGTATAGTGATGAGGACTCTATACTTTTCAGTGAGTGCCGTCCAGGGGCGGACTGGCCATCTGGCAATTCTGGCAAATGCCAGAAGGGACGGATCATTTTTCAAATGTGGGCTGGTGAGTTTTTTTGTTGTTGTTTATTTTACATGTATTGTTTTTACATGCAGGCAGTTTTTATCTCTTGCAAGATGTGAATATTATAATGATGATGATGATGATGATAATAGTAAGAATAATAAATGTTAAGCATTTGGCCCAATCGGCAATGGCTGGCTGGTTTCGAGATGGGCTGACCCAATCCAACCTAATCAGAAATAACACGGACGTAATCAAAATCTGGCAAGAATGTCAAACGAACAGTAAGTGCAACACAAGGTAATTGAGATGGACCATAAAAAAAGGAAAGGCGATGCCGAAAAGCTCAGAGAAAGCAAAAAAAAAAATGGCTCTAACATCAGACGGTGCCAAACTAACTGAAATATTCTAGAAAGGGGGCAGCATTGTGGCGCAGTGGGTAGCGCTGTCGCCTCAGAGCAAGAAGGTTGCTAGCTTGAACCTCGGCTGGGTCAGCTGGTGTTTCCATGTGGAGTTTGCATGTTCTCCCCGTGTTGGTGTGGGTTTCCTCTGGGTGCTCTGGTTTCTCCCACAGTCCAATCACATGTGTTAAAGGGGAATTGGGTAGGATGAATTTTCCGTAGTGTATGTGTGTGTATGCATGTGTGTGTTTCCCATAACGTATGCTAGATAAGTTTGCGGTTCATTTCGCTGTGGTGACCCCAAATTATTAAAGGGATTAAGCTGAAAAGAAAATGAATGAATGAAAAAATTTACAGATTTGTTATAAATGAGTTGTTTTGTTCCAGTCACATACATTAAATGTTTAAATGTCTATTACATACGGTGCTGCTTATATTATTTTACCATCTGTACACCAATAGAAGTAGTGAATGTGCTTTTTCGTGGGTGGGGCTCTGTCGGTGTGGTAATGTGGGCTGTTGTGGCTACAATGCCAGGGCTGATTTTTTCCGCCCCTGGTGCCGTATTTCCGTATTAAATGAGACATTAAGACGAGGTCCTGACTCTTTGTGGTCGTTTAAAATCCCAGGATGTTCTTCAAAAAATAGTAGGGGTTTAACCCCGGCATCCTGGCCAAATTTGGCCACTGGACTCCGTCTATTGTGGCCCTCCTAACCATCCCCATATCTTAATTGGCTTCATTTGTCTCCTTTCCACCAATCAGCTGGTGTGTGGTGAGCGGTCTGGCGCAAAATGGCTGTCGTCTCATCATCCAGGTGGATGCTGCACACTGGTGGTGGATGAGGAGATCCCCCCCCCTATGTGTAAAGCACTTTGAGTGCCCAGAAAAGCTCTATATAAATGTAAAGAAATATTATTATTATTATTATAAGCCGAAAGGAAAACCAATGAAGGAAAATACTCCCGTTAAATCAATGTCCAATTTATCAATTTCCCAATATTGGAAATATTTAAATAGAATTAATATCAAATCAGTGTTGATAATTCAATGTTTTGCAGCCCGCCAGATGAGATTCAGTGTCCTCTGTGTGTGTCTGTGTGTGTAATGATGTGTGCAATAAGCAGCTGTACCTGTGGGGGATTCAGTGAGGCTGCAGGTGGACCGCCGGCCTCTGCGCTGCAGGAATCGATCGCTCACTTTCTTGGCCTCCTCCAACAGCTCTAGGTTCTTCTGCCGGTCCTCTTCAGACAACTTCAGATCCGGGAGCTGATCCTTCACCAGGTCGATCACGTGTCCATCACCATCTCAAACACACAACATAAACCCAGCGGTCATTTACACAAAGTCTCAAACAAAGTAAACAGACCTCAAAGAATAAACTCCATTAATGTTATTTAAAAGTCCTGTGAAGTGCTTTGAAATGTTCAGTTTTGTCCAATGTGGGACGTAATTTCAGCTGAAATAAGAAGACTTTACTTTCATCCGCAACCCCCCAGCCCTGCTTTTCACTTTTGTCAGCGACACACATCTTCCCTCCCACCTGACCCCCGCTCTTCACCTCGCCCTCCTCTGGTAACATGCCAGATCTGTTGTTACCCCGGTCTGTTCCAGGACCTCACAATTTGCAAATTAAGCACTGGTGGCGACCCCTTATAAATAACTAAGGGACTAAGCCAAAAAAAAAAAAGGCTCTAAAATCAGACGGTGCCAAATTAACTGAAATATTCTAGAAAGGGGGCAGCATGGTGGCGCAGTGGGTAGCGCTGTCGCCTCAGAGCAAGAAGGTTGTAGCTTGAACCTCGGCTGGGTCAGTTGGTGTTTCCATGTGGAGTTTGCATGTTCTCCCCGTGTTGGTGTGGGTTTCCTCTGGGTCCTATGGTTTCTCCCACAGTCCAATCACATGTGCTAAAGGGGAATTGGGTTGGATAAATTGTCCGTAGTGTCTGTGTGTGTATGGGTGTTTCCCAAAACATATGCTGGATAAGATTGCTGTTCATTTTGCTGTGGTGACCCCAAATTATTAAAGGGATTAAGCTGAAAAGAAAATGAATGAATGAATGAATGTATAAATTTGTTATAAATGAGTTGTTTTGTTAAAAAGTCCTGTGAAGTGATTTAAAATGTTCAGTTTTGTCCAATGTGGGACGTAATTTCAGCTGAAACAAGAAGACTTTACTTTCATCCGCAACCCCCCAGCCCTGCTTTTCACTTCACTTTTGTCAGCGACACACATCTTCCCTCCTACCTCACCCCCGCTCTTCACCTCGCCCTCCTCTGGTAACATGCCAGATCTGTTGTTACCCCGGTCTGTTCCAGGACCTCACAATTTGCAAATTAAGCACTGGTGGTGACCCCTTATAAATAACTAAGGGACTAAGCCCAAAAAAAAAATGGATGGATGGATGAATTTTCATCTTCTCTGATGATGTGTTCACTAGCATGTGCTTACATAACCCATAAATCTCATAAAATCCTCCAAAAGAAAACAACAACCTTGCTCAACCAGCTATTTATATCAGATATATGTCATAATATGTATGAAAAAACATCTAAAAATTGAATTAAATTAAATGACACCACTTGAAAACATCTACATTTTGAAATAAATGTCTAAACAAGAGAAAAATGAAACGTGTGTGTGTGAAAATGACTGTGTAGTTGAACTTACCCACTGTGGTGATAGGACAGGATGATGGAGAGTTTCGGGAGAGACGAGGCCGAGGACTGTGTGGTCTAAAAACAAACATTACACCAACACATTCTCAACATAACTGAGCACGAACAAACTGTAACTTCTTCTTTTAACAGCCTTAACACTGCTTATATGAATAAAACTGTAGCTTCAAAACAGATAAATACACTAGGTAGTTTTAAAAGACAATATAATGGGTCTCCGATATCAATACCTTGCTTTCTCGAGAGGACAGGATTCCTGCTTGATGACTTGTCTTTGAAGCACAATGGCTGGTGGACTCACGTTAACACTCACCATCTTGCTTTCCACTGGAGCATACTGGGGGAAAAATACAATAACAATAATTATAGCTTCACTAACTGGCTGTAATGTTGTTGGGCACATTCTTGGAGAGCAGTGACACAGAGGGGTTTACTTTTCTTTTATTAAATCGGACACTTTTGCTTTGCTGAGTACAAAATATTTTGTTAAATGTTCTCATCTGGCAATATAATGTTAATTCAAGAAGAGTTGGGAAATGTTCTTATTAAACTAAATGTGGCCCAGCTTGTTCCAGTCTTTGCTCACTGTTGTGATAACAGAAATATCTCTGTAAAATTAAGGCATTACATTGAAAGTGACACAAAAGTTTGAACTTGAACATATAAAAACAAACACATCTACATTTTTTGCTGTGTTTTCAAGCGAAAACCAGTTATTTGATCCAAAAAAATGTAAATGGCCTTCAATATTACAAAAAACAAAGTAAAATAATGTGTGAAAAAAAACATGTATATTATTTAGAGCTTATTTACAGCAAAAAATAAGTGTAAACTGTGTATATTTATGTATATATAAGGTTATATATAATATGTACACATATTTATGCATTTATTTGAGAAAATGGCTATTTATATGTAGATATAAATTACATTTGTATTTATTATATTTGTGTCTATTATACAAATTGTAAATAAAATGTAAATATTTATGTAACAAAATATATAATACACACACATTTACATTATAACACCCATTATTTTGGATGTGATTAATCGCAATTCATCTTTTCCCATACATATGAAGAGTTTAGATGCAAAAACATCTACATGCCGTCTGAAATTTCCATAGAAAATGAGCATTATTTTCAGCCTCCTTTGTTTATGATGAGTTATTTCACTTTAAAGACTATGAAAATAACTTATTATTTGCCATGAAAGTGAAATTACTGAACCTATTCACTAGAGCCTGATAAAAATGCTCATTTTAGAAGAAAATTTCAGACGGCATTTAGAGGTTTTTGTATCTGAACTCTTCTTATCCATATATATAGTTGAAGTCAGAATTATTAGCCCCCCTTTTGATTTAAATATTTCCCAAATTATGTTTAGCAGAGCAAGGAAATTTTCACAGTATGTCTGATAATATTTTTTCTTCCGGAGAAAGTCTTATTTGTTTTATTTTGGCAAGAATAAAATCAGTTTAACATTTTTTTAGGGACAAAATTTTTAGCCCTTTTAAGCTATATATATATTTTTTTTGATAGTTTACAGAACAAACCAATGTTATACAATAACTCACCTAATTGCCCTAACCTGCCTGGTTCACCTAATTAACCTAGTTAAGCCTATAAATGTCACTTTAAGCTGTATAGAAGTGTCTTGAAAAATATCTAGTCAAATATTATTTACTGTCATCATGGCAAAGATAAAATAAATCAGTGATTAGAAATGAGTTATTAACTATTTATATTTTTTTCAAGAAAATTTCTAGATTTAATTACTATGAATATTAATCTTGACACATCCTAACATTTAGAGATCATACAGTATATTACTAGTCTTATACCCTACTTGCAAATATCCTGTTTTAAATGTATTTTGCTGTTGTTTATTTTGCAGATAGAAAGTAAAGTGTAGCGAAAGTGAGTGTGAACTGATCTGATTTTTCAAATACATCATTCAGTCCTGAGGCAGTATGAGAAATTTTCCAACTGCACAAGTACTGTAGCTCCTTTTTTATAGCCTTTGGAAAGAAAATCTCACACATACCAACTCAAAACACTTATCTTTATCCCATGGGAAAAGTAACATGCTCTGATAACATCCACTTTAAGGAGAGGAAGCTAAATATTAGCCTTTGCAAAAGTCCAATTACACTCTTCAGTGCTTTGTTTGACATTATTTTGTAATTCTCTATGTACTGTTAAACAAAATTGTAATAAAAAATTATACATATATATATTTTATTACAATTTTGATATATATATATATACAGTATATATATATATATATATATATATATATATATATATATATATATATATATATATATATATATATATATATATATATATATATATACACGGTATATATGCATGTGTATTTTCATATATTATTTTATGCTATCCCCCTCAAAATCATTTCAATCAAAACTAATTTCTTTCCAAAAACAGCTATTCAAGTCATCTGGTAAACTTGTATTCATATCGCAATATATATCGCAAAACAAAACAAAAAAAAGTTTTTATCCATCCAAGGGCAATAAACAATTCAATTTGAAGTATCTGAAGTTGGTCTCTCTAAACCTCTCGTTTCTGAGAGCCTGCTCTTCTCTGATTGGTCAGATGATCCAGTCTGTTGTGATTGGCCTACAGCTAACAGCACACATCAGTAATCAAACAACCATAACCAGATCAGATTTACTACATGAGCTGGTTCCTCAAGAATTTTAAAAATTGATACTAACAGTAACGATGGCGACGTCTTTACTATTGATTAGGGTCATTGGTTTTACCATTTCAATTAATTTCAGAACACCAAGTTCATCTCTGACCAAGTTTAAAGTACAAATGAAATCAAAACTAACCATAATGATTTGGTTAGCTCACATTGCTGGTTTTGTGGTGAAAAATGTATCTGTGCATGAAACATGTTTGCCCTTGTAATCTTTAATTCAAATGTGAAAATACACTTCCTGTTTGTTTTCTGTTCAATTCTCAGATTCCGTCTGTCTGAGGTAGTGGGTGTGGCTATCATAACTAACCACACCCCTCCCGCTGTCAGTTTTGACAACAAACAGACATGGTAAGGAGGAGGTGTCTGTTTGGTTGCAATAGCTTTCCCCAATCTAACCGAATGAAATGCCTACTTTACTACATCCAATCCGCTTGCAGTAGAAAAAACAAGCCACGCCCACTGTTTTCTCATTTAATATTCCATTTCTTTAGGAACTGCATCACAATACGAAAAAAAAAAGGTCTCAGCTTCCACTTCATGTCAACTTTAACGTAATATTCTATACTCATTCTACTCAATACTCCAAAAACGTTTCTAGATTAAAGATTAATGGCATCATCTGTAATGTAAAAGATACAGTTGGACTCACTGTGGAGGGTGAGCTGGATGTGCTGTCGAGCTCCTCCGGAGAGTCTTCCTCTTCCTCGGGCAGGGTGGGCATTGCCGGGGTGAGAGGGGGCCGAGAGCGTGTGTGTGGGAAGACGAAAGAGGCAACAGACTCTGTGACAAAACTTGGAGCACTCTTCAATGAAGTTTGCTCACCTCTTGAGTGTGTGAACTGACATACAGGAGGTGGGTCCTGTTGGCCCTGTATAGACACAAAGCATGTATGTAGTATGAGGATACAATCATATTTGCAGTTTCTTACAAAACAGTAACATCTGTGGCAGTACATTGGTAGACTAAAAGCTGATTTATTATTATGTTGAGTGATCGGCGTGACCCTTGGCGCCTGTTTGCGCGTAGAGGTGCATTTATAGTTCTGCATGCTGTTTGTGTTGCTCTGCAATAACACTTCTGAAACGCTAGCTAGCAGTAGGTTATTATGTTTCTCTGTGTTGAGTTTCTTCGCGGGTGGTTTGTTTTTCTGAACGCTACAAGTAGCTAAAACTCACTCATTCAGAGGCAGACATGCAACAACTTTAATCATCAGGTAAACACAAAGCAAAAGATTCCATTTGGAGGTCTCAACAGCTGTAAACAATCGCTCCATTAAGCTTGTGGCTCTCAGCACTGCCCATGCTCGTCACCAATACCAAGCTGACCAATCACAGAGCTTGTGCGACATGTCGTTGCAACTTATAGTTACAATTTTTGAGAGTGGGTGGGGGGTAGGGGGGTGTGCGAGCAAAGTGAAGAGCGGGGGGAAGATGCAAGCAAACTGAAAAGCGGGGAGCGGATATGAAGATGGTTGCATATTGGGTTCGGTGCTCATGGGGACTGTAACAAAAAGCTGTGGAGCGGGGGTAGGGGGGTGGAATTCCGGGAGTTTTCCGGGAGATAGAACAAGACAGTAGATGGGCGGGAGATGAGTCTAAAATACGAGAGACTCTGGGGAAAAAACATCAGCCACAGAGAGGGCAGTGCGACCTACGCGTATGCTTGTCGCGGAAGTATAAATCAGCTTTAATAGTCATATCATGGTAGACTATTAAATAAATCAGCTTTAATAGTCATATCTTTAATAGTCATATCATGGTAGTAGGGCTGAATAATAGTCATATCATGGTAGTAGGGCTGAATAATATATCGTTTGAGCATCAATATCGCAGTGTGCGTATCTACAACAGTCACATAGCAGCCCAGCAGATACAGGACGTCAACATGACATCAGATTGACGTTGAATCCCAAAGTCGTGGGACGTTGGATTTTGTTTGGAAATGAAAATCAGGTTGACGTCAGAACCCAACGTCAGGCCGATGTCACTTTCCAATGCAATCTAAAAACAACAAAACACCAACGTCTAATGATGTTACAGCATGACATTGTGTGGACATTACCAATACAGCGTCTATCAGAAGCTGAATTTTGATTGCCATACCTGATGAATAAATGTCAATATTTGACGTCATTATGATGTTGGATTAGGACGTTGGATTTAGGACACTTTCCAACACAATCTAAAATCAACCAAACATCAACGTCATTTCACATCGTTATTGGACGTCGAATTAACATTGTTCTTAGACACTGGCAACCTAAATCTAACCTAATAATAATGTTATTTGACATTTTATGTCTGCTGGGAGGACATAGGCTCATTCTGAAAACGTAGCTTTATATACATATCTGGAGTTTGCGAATTATGTAGCCAGAGCTATGTATGGCTGCATTCCATTTTTAAAACGAACGCTACAGGGCAGTATGACACCATTCCTTTTCTTGCTTACCAGCTGGCCGCCTCCGTATGGACGGCTTTTCTGTTGTTATCATTTTGTCAGGTAGCTCAACAAGTACGTCGGTGGAATTAAGACGCAGAGCGGAGTTGACCGCGACAATGGGATTCGAATCTGAAAATGTGGTAAGAATAAGGGGGCTTTTTTCTAGATTGCTGTTTAAAACACTGCGGTTAGGTTTAGGGAAGGGGGTAGGCAGGCCAATCGGTGCTCTTAAAAACACTATTGATTGGGTTTAGGGAAGGGGGAGGGTGTAGGGGTCGGTCGGTTGGTCAGTCAGCAAATCAGTCAGTCGACAGCAACCTCTGGTGGGTTTACATGAGAACACCAGGTGCGAATGGCATTCGCAAGAGAAGTTTGAGATCTTAAAAAGTTTACACAGTGCCTCTGGTAGATTCGTGAAAACAAAAACTGCTAAAAGTCTTTGTTCTGTTCAGAAATGTATATAGGAGTATATAATCAGAATAAACCTGGGTTGTATTTTATGTTTGATTGTTGATTTTCAGCAACTGAATACTGCTGGACTCTCCTGTTTATTTACATTTTACTTAAAATGTTTGATCATTGTCGTATTTATATATGCTTGTAATTCATTGTATTTTATGCAGATGCACTGCATAGAAAAAGACTTGATCATCCTGATTGATTTAAATAAATATTTTTTTTTCCAAATAGAGCTATTCAAATCACCTGGTGAAATTATATTCGCAATATATATCACAAGCAAAACAAAATATCGCAACGTCAGATTTTTCCAATATCATGCAGCCTTACATGCTACCATTTGCTACCACTGAGTTTTGAGACATTTGAATGAATACAACGACATCTGTTTGTTATGTTTGATGTGAAAGTTATGGGGTTCAGGCGATCTTTCAGATGAAAAAAGTAAACAACAAATGACTCAAAAATACACAAATCACGATTGTAATGGTTATCTCCATGCATAATCTCAGATAGCCAGACATTGATTCAAAATTATATTATTAGTTTCTCATCATCATGTCATTCCAGTGCACCGAGACCTTCGTTCATCTTCAGAACACAATTAAAGATATTTTTGATTGAATCCAAGACCTCCCTCATCTTCCATAGACAGCAAGAGTCGCGGGATGTTCAATGACATTGTAAAAACAGTCTATGGTATACTGATTCAACTGTAATCATATAAAGTTCCAAGAAATGTTTGTGTTCTAAAAAACCTGCAAATATAACCTTGAAAAAACTGCCTTCTTTCATCTGAGAAATATCGCTAAATTACGAAATATGCTATCCATCTCAGATGCAGAAAAGCTAGTCCATGCTTTTATGACTTCGAGACTGGATTACTGTAATGCTCTATTTGCTGGCTGCCCAGCATCCTCTATTAACAAACTTCAATTAGTACAAAATGCAGCAGCCAGAGTTCTGACCAGGTCCAGAAAATATGATCATATAACCCCAATTTTATCCTCCTTACACTGGCTGCCTGTTAAATTTCGTATTGAATTTAAAATATTACTTCTCACCTATAAAGCTCTAAATAATCTAGCTCCTGTTTATCTAACCAACCTTCTGTCTCGCTACGAACCAACTCGCTCCTTAAGATCTCAAAATTCAGGGCTTCTGGTAGTACCTAGAATAGCAAAATCAAGTAAAGGAGGTCGAGCCTTCTCTTTCATGGCTCCTACACTCTGGAATAGCCTTCCTGGTAATGTCCGAGGCTCAGACACACTCTCCCAGTTCAAAACTAGATTAAAGACTTATCTGTTTAGTAAAGCATACACTCAGTGCATCACCTAGCGGGTTCCACACTGGCTTCTACATCTTGCTTATATACACTATGAACAGCAGCTACGCTAATTATTCTCTTTATTCTCTATTTTCACCTGGGGATACTCATCCCGAGGTCCTCAGATTAGGCGGAGTCACTGATTGGATCCAAGACCAGCGACGTGATGATCCCAAGGATTCCATATTCGGGACCAGGCCATATCCTGAGCTGCTGCTGCGCTGATGGTCATGGGGAGTGGAGAACATGAGTCTGATTCCAGCGACGCTCCAGGGACAGACGAGTCTTCATTGAGGCCATCTTCCAGCATAAACCACGGCGAATGAATTTCTGCACAAGACTTTTGGCCAGCGGAGAAATTAAAATGGTCGTGCCCAACTGAGTCTGGTTCTCTCAAGGTTTTTTTTCTTCACTCCCATCAGGTGAAGTTTTTTTTCCCTCTCCGCTGTCGCCACTGCCTCGCATGGTTCAGGATTGGTAGAGCTACGCATCGATGAATTTGCTCTTCAGTGTTTGAACTCTCAGTAATGATTAAATCACACTGAACAGAGCTAAACTGAACTGAACTGAACTTAAACACTAAAACCTGAACCACACTGTTCCAGTTACTATGACCATTTATGTGAAGCTGCTTTGACACAATCTACATTGTAAAAACGCTATACAAATAAAGCTGAATTGAATTGAATTGAACATTTCTCCTGTATCTTCAGTATGGCATACTGTATCAGAATTAGGGTCAGTAGAGCACCACGTAAGCATTCTATTACCTATAGTGAAATGCACACCCTGATATGATGCAAAAGATACTGGCTATTGTTTTTTGCTGATTTCTTGGTGCATAAAAAGTGTTCTTGGAGCTTCGTATGATTACAGTTGAACCACTGAAGTCACAGACAGTTTAGCCAATGTTGTTGGTTCCTTTTCTAGCAAACAAAGTTGTTTTTACTGATTGTTTGGTGCACAAAAGTGTTCTTGGAGCTTCGTATGATTATAGTTGAACCACTAAAGTCACGTGGACAATTTAGTCAATGTTTTTGGTTCCTTTTCTGGCAAACAGTTGTTTTTACTGATTGTTTAGTCCACAAAAGTGTTCTTGGAGCTTTGTATGATTATAGTTGAGCCACTGAAGTCACATGGACTGTTTTGACAATGTTTTTAGTTCCGTTTCTGGCAAACAAAGTTGTTTTTACTGATTGTTTGGTGCACAAATGTGCTCTTGGAGCTTCGTATGATTACAGTTGAACCACTGAAGTCACAGACAGTTTTGCCAATGTTTTTGGTTCCTTTTCTGGCAAACAAAGTTGTTTTTACTGATTGTTTAGTCCACAAAAGTGTTCTTGAAGCTTTGTATGATTATAGTTGAGCCACTGAAGTCACATGGACTGTTTTGACAATGTTTTTAGTTCCGTTTCTGGCAAACAAAGTTGTTTTTACTGATTGTTTGGTGCACAAATGTGCTCTTGGAGCTTCGTATGATTACAGTTGAACCACTGAAGTCACAGACAGTTTTGCCAATGTTTTTGGTTCCTTTTCTGGCAAACAAAGTTGTTTTTACTGATTGTTTAGTCCACAAAAGTGTTCTTGAAGCTTTGTATGATTATAGTTGAGCCACTGAAGTCACATGGACTGTTTTGACA